TTAAGAAGGTGGCCAATTGCATCAGTTACAGTGTGGATGGACAGCCTGGTTGCTTTGTTTTGGACTGCAAGCCCAGAAAGATCCTGGAAAGTCTTTGTGTCAAATCGGTCGCGGAAGATTGCTGAAATTACGGAAGAAGTAGGCATCAGTTGGAAGTACTGTCCATCCGAGGAAAATTTAGCTGATTTAGGGAGTCGGGGAGCTTCGATCGACAAAATGGAAAAGGACGGTTGGTTTAATGGTCCCAAGTGGCTAATTAACCAAGACAAATGGCCAAAACAACCAAAGCTCGAGAGAACAAAGGCTGTCTTGGACGAGCAAAAGCCGATGACGGAAGTAGCTTTCAATACGGAAGAAAAGGGTCCGGAGGAATGGGACTTGCTACTTTCTAGATCAAGCTACTGGAAGACTATTCGTGTTACTGCGTGGGCGTTAAGATTTGTAAGCAATGCAAGAGCCAGAAAACAGAAAACTAACCTAACGAAAGGTCCGCTTTTTTTTGGAAAAAAAACACAAACTTTTTTTTGAAAAAAAAAACACAAACTTTTTTTTGAAAAAAAAACACAAACTTTTTTTTGAAAAAAAACACAAACTTTTTTTTGGAAAAAAAACACAAACTTTTTTTTGGAGAAAAAACACAAACTTTGTTTTGAAAAAAAAACAAACTTTTTTTTTGGAAAAAAAAAACACGAACTTTTCTTTGAAAAAAAAAACACAAACTTTTTTTTTGAAAAAAAAAACACAAACTTTTTTGAGGACAAACACGTGGCCGCTCACGTGTACAATTAATTGTCCAAGATGGCAGACGCAAATATTGCTGTGAGTGATTTGAATAACTATCTTCCATTTCACCAAGGCATTGATCTTGAAAGAGATGAATTAATCGAGCGATATTTCAAGCTTGGATTGAAATATAAAGAAATATGTCTTTTTCTTCTCTCCCGTTGCATGGCATTGAAATAAGTGAACGCCATCTCAAAAGAATATTACGACAACGACAGCTAGGACGTAGACGTAATCCAAGCTCCCCTAATGATGTTTATGAAGCTTTGCATGAGGAGATTGAGGGTAGCGGAAGTTCTATTGGTTATAGATCAATGCATCAACGACTTCTTAACTGTCATGATCTTGTTGTCTCACGAGAAACAATAAGACACGCGTTAAAAATTCTAGACCCAGCTGGAGTTGAAGCACGCTCTAGGCACTGCTTACAACGACGAAGATACGTATGCAAGGGGCCAAATTATATATGGCACATAGACGGGTACGATAAACTTAAACCATTCAGATTTTGTATCCACGGAGCGATAGATGGTTATACCCGTCGAATCTTGTGGCTTGAAGTAGGCCCTTCTAACAATGATCCGTTAATCATATCTTCGTACTACCTGAAGTATGTAGAGAAATACGGAATTACTGCTCGTGTGATACGAGCTGATATGGGAACTGAAAACGTGAATGTGGCTGCAGTTCAACGGTTTTTCCGAAGGGCAGATGATGATGCTTTCGCTGCAGAAAAAAGTTTTTGTTATGGAAAAAGCGTATCAAATCACAGAATCGAAGCGTGGTGGAGCATATTACGTAAAGGTTGCACCAATTGGTGGATCAATCACATGAAAGATCTCAGAGACCGAGGAATTTACAACGACAGCGATAACATTCAAGTGGAGTGCTTAAGGTTTTGCTACTGTAACCTTATTCAGAAAGAACTACATAAAGTGGCTACATTATGGAACCTCCACAACATTCGACCATCTAACAATTCCGAATCGCCGTCAGGAAGGCCCGACACGATGTACTTTGTTCCGGAAATCACTGGAACCCGTGACTACAAAATAGATGTAGATCTGGATGATCTTGAGGCGGCAAAGGAAATGTTCTCGTCAGACAGGCCGCTAAATGGATGTTCTCGAGCGTTTAGCGAACTTGCTGTAATGTTAATGGAAGATAATAGACTGAATCATCCGAGTAACGCTGAAGAGGCTACGACACTTTACTTGAACTTGCTACACTTGATCGACCCATTGTTATGACTGAGGGTGTAAATCTATATTTTTTAGTTGTTGGATTGATGACTACAATGTAAAATGTTGTGCTTGTTGAGTTATTCCTATGAACTAAAACTACGCGGAGCCCGTTATTGCGTATACTTATTCACTTCATACTCATATAGCTATACTAAATGGATAGCGTGTCATAAGCAGTCATAGGCACCCGCTAAGTACGTTCTTGGAAATTATCGATACCCCAGTGAACTTTTTTCTACGTTCGCCATTGTGTTAAATGACTGCACATACATGTAGCCCGCGGCTCACACTTTTGGGTAATTTTGCCCTTTGTTCTCACCGTGTTATGAAGCCACACTGTGTATAAGTATAGGTAATAGCATGGTTTCGAGTGCAATTTGGATATAACATGCACGAGTGAGTTTTTCAAAGACCTCAAAATAATAGCACTCGTGCTATTTGAGGTCTTTGAAAAACTCACGAGTACATGTTATATCCAAATTGCACTCGAAACCATGCTATTACTTATTAATAATTTACATAAAAATATTCGAGACAATTACAGTTTTAACTTGCGCGTGGCGCCATGTTTGTTTTGTTTTGTTTTGAAGCAATATGTGACCGCTACTTCTTTAAACTAAATTGCTTTAAACTGATTGGTTGATCTGAACTGAAATCAACCAATCACAGTCGAGTAATATCTTTATGTATATTATTATAAATGTTATCAATTTATTGAATGTATATGTTCACGTAGATGAGACATCGTATCTTGTAAGAACAGCCAACAGGCCGACAACGTACAACACAAATGTGCAATGTAGATAGATTACCCTTCAAATTATATATTTATTTTCTTTTTGCTCTTTAAATTTACACGAATTTCGTTACTTAAATATAAGTCTAAATACAATCATCATCTACAATTACAGTAAAAATGTAGAACCAAGATGGATTAAAAATGCATTATTACTAACATGTCCATCACGAGGCTTTCAGTTACATGTAGTCATTGACATTGCATAACCACTAATTTTTTCTTCTGGCATAACTTTGAGTAAATTGGAGACGTAAAGACTTTCTCTTGCGCAGTTTATATCGCAGCGTTATTGCTTATAAATATTGAATGCCAGTGAATATCATGCCTACTGTACCTTCGCAAAGAACTAAGAAACCGTGTAAAAAACTAGTAACACAAAAAATCAAACAAAACATCAACAAGGATGATGTAACATGCATGTTAGCTACTGCAAACACTGTAAATACACTAAAACGGCAAAGCTTATACTAAAAAGTCTTTGATGTTATAATATCAATAGTAAGTTAAACTATATGTAGCAACAATAAGAACATATGCTGAATGCTTTTTTTTTCATAAAACGTTTACTGACTGTTACAAAGTTTGTGTCCCAATCAACACTGTAGAAATAGTCGGACGTGTCTACATAGAATGAAAGTGCCACGACTCAGGGTTCTTAATGACTTCGTCAAACTGCATTCTAAAGTCATTAAAATTGTCATATCCAGAATTTGGAAGATCTATGATGGAAGAGCAGGTATGCAGCAACACGTGTGGTAGGTTGCCAGTGTACGAATGAAATATTACTTTGATGTGTTCGCCCGAGTATGTTGCACTGCCAGTGATAAATCGTAGCAAGAGTGGAAGTTCCTTTTCTGTAAGATTTCGAACGTATCTTTTGAGATAAGTAAAAACAGCCTCTTTTGCTTTCGTCATAGTAGAAAGGTCTTCAATGGTGAAAAGCGAAAGGACTTTGTCCGTAGTCACCGACAACTCCTTGTAAATGTTGAACACAGTTTGTTTCGTGAAAACCGTGCCGTCGCTGATTCCATAAAGAAAACCTTCCTTTAAGGAATCCATAGCCATACGCGGCTTACTGAACAGTTCAGTTTTACCAACACTAATCAAGACATTCTTCTTATTTTCCGGTGTTGGCAATTTGGAAACAGCAAACTCTGACATGAAGTCAACAAAGAAATTGTTACTTTCTTGAGAAAGTTCTTTCTCCTGCATAATATGGGACAGCTTGAGCCTCTCGTATGAACTAACGTACTCCAAAAAACCTTCCAGGAAATCTTCGTCACTGATACTGTCCTTCCCAGCAAGCACCAAAGCAAGGAAAACTTTGTTTATTGAAATCGGGAAAACACCAGAAAGGACAAACCCATGCCATAATATTCTTCCCAGAACGGTATACACGTTTTCTTCAATCCCCGGGCTAATGTGTGGAACAAAAGTGCATGTTCCTTCGAAGAAACGCGGGATTGCATTTTCCCAGAAGAGAGAATATGCTTCTCGCTTTATTCCGTCGAAATCAACGCCACACTCTTCGGTAAACCGTATTGTAATAAACCTCTTGACGATATCCGGGTCTGCATATGCCGACATCATATCTTCTACGATGTTTGGGCGACTGACAGTTACCTGCTGTGAGTTTCCTTCTCTACATAGCTTTTCAAGTTCTTGGTGGCGAATAGTAAGAAAATCCTGCAATGAATTGAAATATTTTAGGTTCCGTTTCGGTTCAGACGGATTGGGCATATTAAATATTAACCACAACGTCTACAACGAAATTGATTTGATTTGTATCAATTTTTCAATTATAATAGGATAACCTATGAGGTACATATTAAAACGTCACTGTGGCCATGGCAAAACACACACACACACACACATATATACATATATATATATATATATATATATATATATATATATATATATATATATATATATATATATATATATATATATATATATATATATATATGTTGCCACGGCCATATAATAGATCAGTTACAACAATAAATAGAGGATATTACACGGCGGCGCGAAGATATGACTTTTATCTTCGAGTGGTGAAAACAATAATTTACGAACGCGAGCGCAGCGAGTGAGTAAAATATTGTTTTTAACACGAGAAGATAAAAGTCATATCTTCAAGCCACCGTACCGTGTAATGTTCTGTAACTTTATAATAAATAAAGTCAATTAATAAATACTGTATTAAGATAAGGCCACTACAAGTTAATCTTTAGTTTCTGGTCCGCCACCCGCGTCTAGCCTGCGTGCAGCCTGAAAGTCAGGTTTCACGCAGGCTACCCGCGTGTATTATTTCAGGACTGTTTTGTTATTTACAACTAATTTCTAGTTCTTGAAAATTTTGGCGAAGGATTTAACTTATATATATATAGAACGATAAATATTCAATTTACACTAAAAAGACCTACCAAAATGTAGTATTGAATGGTAAAAACCGCTGCCTTATCGAGATTACGAGGGAAAAAAACTAGAAATATTAATAGATCATTTTGATATGTAAAATCCTTTGTAATCTGTAATACATTTCGATTTATAAATAATATAAATGCAATTTATGTAAAATTTCATAACATTTTTATACAATTATATAGCATGAAAACGGACAAGAGTGGCCTATATGGGTAACGTATTTTTAGGGCCTTTGATTGGGAAATTAGTCATAGTACACTGCTATAGTCGTACATGTTATATCCCTTGCCATGATTACAATGCAAAATTCGCACATTTTAGGCCTTTTCTAAATCCTTTTATTGAGTACAAAAGAACCTGAGATAATTGGTGTGCTGAAAGATGACACTCACCTTTGTACCAGCGTTATCCTCTTCATCTTCTTCCATAAAATTATCTGGAAAAAATTCTGAAATATTGTCTCCAAAAACTGTTTGTGCATAGCCAATTGCGTTTATCTCACTATCATCATGGACTAGCGAAAGTGCGTCTTCCGTTTCACACATATTTAAAACGCATTTGGCCGCCTCTGTGATCGGATTCTCCGGTAATAAAACTTTTCCAGCAATAGGGGTAATAAGTCTGAAATATTCGGGAACTATCTCAATAGACCCAACCCAGTCATAAACTTGAGCCACAGTTGCGTTTTTAAAAAACATGCGGCTTACAACACCTCGCGTTATATGACGCACAAGAACAACAACGTGATCTTCTTCAATGTTTGGTTCCGGTGGCACACGACCTGCCCTTGTAGACCTCAACTATTCTTGCCTCGTGATTTTTTCCATCTCATCAGTCTCCAACAATTGTTCTCGGACTCTGTCGTCACGTTTCTTGATATCCATGGCCAGACTTTCACGGTACGTTTTGTCCTGCTCGTCTTTTAGCCGCAATCGTTCCTGAGACGTGCCTTTTAGGCTACTATCAGTAACACTGTTACTGGTCACAAGTGGCGTACTTGTGTGCGGGTCTTCCCACGAGACGGGGTCTTCATCGCTGCTTGAAGTTGCTACTTCTTCAACTCTTGAATCGGAAGTCATATAGAGTCGAACTCTCGATTTAAACCCATTTTTCTGAGCATACGCTCCAAGTGTGATTTCAGCGTCCCCGTCACGTTTCGTTAGAGGTTGCCGTTTGAAATCAGCCAGGCCAAACTTCATATTGTCCGCAGTACCAAAAGAACTACGGCCGTCAGGGAAAAACCACTTTCTTCCAGCATCAATCAGCTCATGGTAAGAGCAATCAACAGACGCTTTCATCTCTCTTGTACCACCACCTTTTTCCAAACCCACTCTGACATCATTATGAATCCAGCCCATTTGGACGTTGTGAGTAGCAGCTTTTTTCTCAGTCTTCTTAGATTCGGCTTTCTTCACTTTAGAAGACGAATTTCCTATGTTTCTCCTACTTTCCATTAGTTCTGATATCAATTTCTGTTTTTTCAATTCTCTTTCATCATGTACATCAGTAGTTGACTTATTCTGGCTTGAACAATATTCTTTTAACGAAAGGCGAATGCCTAATTCTTTTATGCCCAGCTCTTCTTTCAATTGAGTTTCACTTGCTATCATTATTTCTTTGAAACCCATCTAGAATAACGATATTTAAAAAAGTATATGAGTAAAAAAATAATTGCATAAAGCATAAACAGATACAATGCTTTATTGATGTTTAGTTTCCGTTCGCGCTCAATTACAGGTGGCGGAGGAATATTTTTAATGATTTTCGCTTCGTGGCGTATGTGGTTGAGTGAAATGTTTATCTTCATGTCAGATAAACATGCTCAATCGCACCCTTATCGTGCATAGATAGCAGGAAGACAAAAATTCCACTGAATTTATGCAAATGCAATCAATTTATGCAAATATGGTAAATATAAATATCAATGAATACCTTCGACAAGTATGCAAAAATCACTGACACAAAAGCTATCAATTCAGTAAGTCTCAAATCATTCAGATGATAGATGAGACTTCGAACACAACTACACATTTGACCAAGTTGTCAACATCCCTTTTTAGAGCTTTTCAATACCTTTTTCCTGTTCATTACTTTGTGCAACATATAGGCAATGTTCAAGTGCTATTCAATTACCAAAGTCGCTTGTTCAGAGCAAAACAACTTGCCTTTCTTTAACAAGATTGAAATGTTTTTGTTTTTTAAAACGTTTTTCCTGCTTTAACATGTATGCGTGATATTTACTCAGGCGGCTGGTGAGCACTTTTTTGTTCTTGCCAATTAAATGCATATGATGCCTCATACTGTGTATCTTAAAACTGAATAGACTACGGGAGAATAAATAGTTTATTTCTATTCTCCCAAACATTTGGAAAAATAAAAGTCGAAATTTTGCAAATATCATGCGTCCATGATCTATACAATTATAAATAAAATGCTATAGAATAGCAGCGACTTTTGCATATTTATCGAATTCAGTGGAATTTTCAAATATTTTAGACATTTAAAACCTAATCACGTATTCCGCGCGTCTGTCCCATAGAAATATTAGACCTAGAATGCGTGCTCCTACACGTACTTTCTCAGTCCTGAAAAAAAAATGACGCCCACATTAAATTCAAAATGGCCGATTTATAAGGGCAAATTAACAAAAAGTGGACACCAGTCACATGACCAAGCACGCATTATATGTCTAGTATTTCTATTGTCTGTCCACTAATAGATCGCAACTCTCGACCAATGAAATTGATTGAATTCTTAAGGTTATTATTATTATTATCAATATATATATTAATATATAACATATATTAATATAACTAATTAGGTATTTTAAATATTATTTAGTATATAATTGTTAAATACTATATAAACATAAATCATTTCATATATTAACTGCTTATTAACCAAAAATGAGGGCCTATACAGTAAAATAGTAAACCTAAATCAGTTTGCCACAGCAAGGACAAGGTATTAATTTAATGGACCTATTCCCCAATGAACAGAATTTTGATCTAGACAAGGCTAGACAAAAATTTCATCACTCAGCTTGAAAGAGCGTCACATGCAAAATTAGTAATATTCCTAAGTTTTGTTGCACAATGTTGTAAAATACAGATAATATAGCCAGGGACGCCGGAACGACAATAAGGCAAAGGGGGGCAGACGCACACCAAGGGCACCTCTATAGAGCAAAAGTTCAAAATCTACCGGAAAATTTTTTTTGATGGAAATTTTTTGGGCGACCTCCACCCCCCCCCCCGGCGCCAAAAACATTTCGGTCAGTGTACTATTTTAGGGGTCAAAAATTTTTTCCGGACATACCAAAATTTTCCGTTAAGTTAAAACATTTTTCTAAATTCCAAAAATTTTCTAATTAAACTCATTCTTTACCAAATTCACAATTATTTTTGTTAATTTATTTTCTCGGGGCCTATAAATTACCTGAATCTCATGATTTTCCCAGAAAAAGCATCACTGGAAATGTGATTTATCACGTAGTATTTTACAACTAAAAGGGCACTTCTGCCCCCCTAGCAAAAGGCAAGGGGGGCAGCCGCCCCCCCTGCCCCCCAGTTCCGGCGTCCCTGAATATAGCCCTGAGAAGTTTGCCGTTTTTCAGTCATTTTGTATGAATACGCACAGGAAATTGGTACTGCTTCCTGAAATAAGGCATCAAAATATATTCCCGTACGGTAGCCGGATTGTAGCAAAATTCAATACATACAATTTATAATCAATACACACATTTTATATTCAAAACACACATTGAATATTTCAGATGTTGTATTGAAGATTTAACAAGGTTATTGAATGTTTTTGCGAAAATATTGAATATATTTCGGTAAATATTGAATATAAAACGGGTTTATTGAATATTCTAAAAGTATATTGAATATAAAATGAATGTGTGTATTGAATATAAATTGCGTGTATTGAATTTTGCTACAATCGGCAATCATATTCCCGCGAGTAATACAAATCGACTGAAAAATTGCAAACTTCACATCCGCACTTTATTACAACATTTCGCAACAAAACATTGAAATATTATTAATTTTTCTTTTTTAAGCTGTGATGAAAATTTTGTCTACTAGACTAATCTAGATCAAAATTTTGTTTATTAGGCAAATGCTAATAATTTCCATATTATAAGGCACAATTGTTTCGAGTTTTCATTCAACCGGAATTAAATTTTTACTTCCATATCTTGCACGCGCCACAGTCACGCGACCACTTTGCCGAAACCAAGAAACATACATTTACCAGGTTTCAAATTTATAATACCAAATTATTTTTCGTTAAAGCTGGGTTACAGTCCATTCTGCGCATGTCTCAAATGTGTACATGTTACTCGATACTACACACGATGTTTTATGACTTTTATCGTTTTATTATGTATAGAATCGCTTCAAATATGTTTATAATACTAAGATATAATCTAGAATAACACTAGTTCAAAACGCAACGTTTCTCGAACGTATTCTGAGCACGCGAGGCGCGCCCGCTGGTCGCTCGTACCAGTCTCTAAACTGTTCGCATATATTATCGTTCATTACGGTATCACTCTCCCCTCCTCATTGAATGCCATCCATGACATGTACGGATCTTTCTTCTTATCTTATCATTTACAGGTATTTCTCTAGAATTGTTGATATCTTCTACCTAAGACACCTGGGCTGGTTGATCAGACACAACCCATTAACTCTATCAAACCTATCTAATACTCATGTGCGCATACTCATTCTACATATAGATCCGTTTTTCCGTAACCTCAGTTACGATACACGTTCCTCCATAACTATGGATTCTTAACGACAAAAGTACAATGTTTTTCTAATAATATGATTTAAAATGTTCCAAATATCTAAAACGCAAACATTGGCTGGTTCTGGTACATTTGAGGGTAACCAAACAATGGTGGAGTTGGTGGATAACCAAATGGTGGTGGAGTTGGTAGGTAACCAAACGGTGGTGGGGTCGGTGGGTAATCAAATGGTGGTTGAGTTGGTGGGTAACCGTAAAATAGGTGCGGTTGTGGTGGTATGAAGCCGCAGGTCTGCATCATTCCAACGGTGGGGTTTTGACATACATTGAACACACCAGTCGCTGGATTTCCGGGTGTGTTATATCCAAAACGTGATGGCGGCTGTCGAACTCGTTGTGGTCGTGGATAAAATCTAGCAGTTTCTTCGCCGTTATTTCCCGCTTGGATCACATTTTCATGTTCATTCGTCGTCGATGGGGTTTGGGTGATTGGGTTCTCTGTTGTAATGTCACCTGCAGTATTCTCTGCTGTGAGATTTTGTTCTTCCACTGTGGGGTTTCCGTCTTGTTCGCTTGTCTCACTTGGTGTCACTGCATTTCTCTCGGTGTCTTCGAACGTTTCACTGTGCTCAGTGTGCTGTGACTGTTGTGCGTTCAGTTCTTTCATATCATTTGGCAGTGCAGATGGTCTCTCCTCTCCCTCCGAATCTGAATCTGTGTCAACTTGTTCGTCATTTGCAGAAAACTGTTTTCTCGGTTTTAGCTTTTCTCTTCCTTCACTTGTTTCACTCTTCTTCGTTTTGACCGATTCGTTAATTTGTACGCCGTGGTCTGGTGGGAGGTAATCGCAGGGTAATAATAGGTTGCGGTGTAGTGTTCTTATTTTTCCACGTCCAGATTCTGACTTTATGTCATAAACAGGGCTTTCAGGGCCTTTTCGGGACACTACTACATGGATTTCGTCTTCCCAGAATCCTCGAAGTTTTCCTGGACCTCCGCGTGGAGTAAGGTTTCTCACCAGTATGCGATCACCTGGAGAAAGGACTGTTGATCGAATACGTTTGTTGCTTTGTTTCTTCCCCTTCTCCGCGGCTTGCTGAGCTGATTTTGAAGCTAGGTTGTACGCTTCCTCCATCGCTGTCTTCCATTTTCTTACGTAGGCTGGATATCCCGTTACTTCTTGTTTCTCTGGCAAGTTGAACATGAGATCAATGGGGAGACGTGGCGTCCTACCAAAGAGTAGCAAGAATGGAGAATACCCGGTAGCCTCGTGTCTCGTACAGTTGTAAGCGTGAATTAGTTTATTAACATGGTCCTTCCAGTTCGTTTTGTATTGTTCAGGCAGGGTTCGCAACATATTCAAAAGGGTCCGGTTCATTCGCTCAACCTGTCCATTCCC